GGGTGGGGGGGGGGTAGCCTTGTTATTCCATCCAGGGGTGAGAAGTAATATTCCTAGTCACTTTATGCTATGGAAACTGGAAAAAGTTCAGGCTGGATGAGCCACTTGGTTAAACTCTTGACACCCTAACATCAATATGCATATTCTCCATACACTTCCCCATTTCTTAAGGTGCTGACAAGGAGAATTTGTTTAATAATCAAGAGCTTGTTCAGTTGTTGATTGTTTCCTTTATTCTGGTGTGTTATTCAGGGGTGATATTGTATGGAGAAATAAGACATTAGTCACTCTCAGGGTCACTCTCAGGGTCAAAGGACTAACTACAGACTTTACTATTTCCAATCAATTCATCACTCATGATACATATGATACATATAAATGATAATTTTTAAGTGTTAGTCTCTGTACCTGACCCAATGGTGAATACTCTGTCAAAGTCAGCACAAAGCACCATCTGCTTGTAAAGCTGTGGGGACTGGGCTAGATATGCTTTTCCTATTTTCATGGAAAAACAATAAATTTTACTCCATGGACAAACAAAGTGAATATTTTAGGGGATGGTGGACCAATAACACAAGGATGCATTTTGGGAAAACATTTTGCAACAAGTACAGACATGTAAAACCTTTGTCCCATAACAGTCTTGTTATTTTGTTGACAGGAACAGTGCAGAGTTTTTCTTGGAAATTACTTTCAAAATGCTGGACTGTAATTACTATAATATCTGAACTATTTTAAAAAAAAACCATTTTGTTATATACCCATTACACCATTACGTTTACATGAGATTGAAAATTTACCTTTGAAGTAAGTAACTTCAAAAACATTTGCACCTCCCTCACTAGCAGCTATAAGAGTAAGAAAATCTACATTAAAAATTGTCACCTGAAAATACAATTGACAACAACACCAGAGCAGAGCAGTGTAGTAGGTACTGTGCGAAAAATTTGTAAGAAAATTTCATCATTATGAATTCTTAAACATAACAAAATTGTTTAAGATTAAGAACCACAAGTATAGGGTGACCTTGGTCTTCATATCACGCATCCATCTGTCAACTTGCGATAAAATGCCACTTACAGTACAGTAATCATAATCTATTGCAAAAGACCACCAATATTTCAAATCCAATCCAACCTGAAATAATCTTAGGAGTATGAACTTCGTGAAATCCTTGAGATGTGAGGAACTCTCGAAATAAATGGCACACACCAGCTTGAATACTAAAAATGGCCTGGTTTGGAACAGTCTGCAAACAAGGAAATTACATGTCAAATAAAAATGTAAAAGAAATGTCATTCTTAAAAAAGGGAGAGTAATAACATGTTGGAATAGGGAGCCTAAGTAACATGTGACAGGGTACTGGTTTAAGCAATGCTTAACAAAGCACAAAGCATACATTTGAAGACTCAAAAACCAAATTTTTAACACTCGATGCAATTCAAATGATCATAGGTCAAATTGGAATAATTAGAGTTTTGGAGAAAGAACATGAGAATCAGCCAAAACACTTGGGACCAAACTTGACTCCCATGTGACTACAGGTCAAATTCAGTACATAATGGTAGGAGGTTGGCATTCTAACTCTGTGCAATTTCTACTTGTTTTAATTGTAATCATAATAATTGTAAAAAATATACAACTTTTTTGAAAGACATGTTTCAGCAGGCATATGCCATCTTCAGTGAGTGTGAACAATTATATAGTATACAGGTAGATGAATAAATTATTTACACTGTGATGTAATACAAAAGCGGGTACTAATTACAACATGACACCAAAACCTGCAGTGGTCTCCTAACAAATTTCTTTTAAAGAAAAATTAGTTTTATTCCACCATGCTATAAAATTGGCCTCATCTGAACTCTTATTGACCGAATCTACAAAATCAACAACACCTCTTCCGGCCTTCAAAACGATCTTAATAAACTTTCCAACACTTTAAAACGTAATTCTTTTCCTTTGCATATTATTGACAGAACTTTCAAGCGGTATCTTGATGGGTCTTCCTCTCAAAAAAGCCAGAACATTTTAATGATGACAATAATACACGTTACTTTAAACTCCCTTTTGTCGGCTATTTTTCTAAAATAGTGTACCTTAAACTCCGACAACATACTAAGCGCTTTTGCAAATCGGACCTAAATATCAAACTAGTTTTCACTTCTTTTAAAATTGAAAACATGTTTAGTGTTAAAGATCATACTCCTGGTGCTCTAAAATCCATGATGGTAGTTTACCAATTTTCTTGTGCGGGATGTAACTCCTGTTATATTGGCGAAACTACTCCCCCCTTTTCTACTAGGATAAAGGAGCACACGGAAAGTGATAAAAACTTTGCATATTTTTAAGCATTTCAACACATCTCCTTCTTGTAAGAACAAATACTCCCTTTCTTGCTTTAGTATTCTGGATTCTGCTAACAAATCAATTGATTTAAAACTCAAAGACGCTTTTTATATAAATAAGATCAAACCTGAACTTAACAAACAATTACAGCATTACAACACTTTTCTAGAGTTCTAGTTTACATCTTTGATGTTTTGGTGTCATGTTGTAATTAGTATCCGCTTTTGTATTACATCATAGTGTAAATAATTTATTCATCTACATGTATACTATATAATTGTTCACACTCATTGACTGAAGTTACTCATTGACTGAAGATGGCATATGCATGCCAAAACATGTCTTTCAAAAAAGTTGTGTATTTCTTACAATATCTATCATACTTGCTATTATTGCCACCTTATGGAAATATCATTATAACATGGCAAGCTGTACCCTGAGGTCAATAATTCGGTTGTCCAGCTTTGTGTCTTGATTCACATGAGCTTGTTCCTAAAAGAAAGTTAAAGTAAAAAAAAGCTTAATGCTGTGGATTACTTTTAAGTCTACCAAATTATAAGAAAGACATTGAGTTTAGTCATTATACCGTTATTATCCAACGATAAATTTTACAATTTGTCAAAAATCATGACTCACCTCATCAGTTTCAGGGCGTGATGCGTCATCAATCTGTAGGGGTAGCCTTGGCTCAGCTAGACTTACAACAAAAATCTGTAGATACAGTGTACAAAGCAAGTCAAGATACTCTGCTGATAACTAGTCAAATAAAAATACATTTTTTTCGATATTTCTATGTCAGTTCAACAGTTCAAACTGCCTCCCGGTTAGCTCAATTGGTATAGCGCTGGACTGTTGTGCGGGAGGTCGAGAGTTC